ACTTATACAATGTTACATGTCAGTTATATCTCAATAAAGCTGGAAAAAAAGAATCCAGTGAGGAAGATAATAATAGCATCCTAATTGTACAGACAGGGAAACTGAGGAGCTGAGAGATTACACGACTGTTCAAAGCTACATGAGTGTTGAAGTTGTGTTTAGAATCCATGTCTCAGTAAGACTCAGCGAGTTCTTAACAACTGCTATTCTCTCTTGTTTTGCTGGCCATGTGGACAAGGTGAGGGTGGCTTTAAATATTTCAAACAATTAGATCTTTGGTCTAAAACTTAGCTTTGCTATTTAATACCAGTGAAAAGGTGTGTGTTCATTCAGAGTGGTAAAGGAGAGAGGAAAGTTGGTGCTCAAGTAAGCTTGTGTGTCAAGCATCTGTAAGAGGGCATTGGATAAGGTTTATACAAAAATCCCATAGCATAGTTCATGTCTTGTAGTCTGCCTCTCAAATATTCTTACCAAAATATCCCTGTAGGAGAAAAGAGTAAAACCTCACTACCCCACAACACTCATGCAGATTTTGTGTCTTGCTCCCCTACCTAATATGTTTATTTTTATGTAAGAATAAGCCAGGTGACCTAATGTGACAAAAGTAGTTGCTGCAGAAAGATGTGGCAGGTTTATTCTTTGTGTTCTACACCTAGCATATTAGCTGGTGAAGATGGGTGTGAGGCGTGGCAGTGGGATGCTAACTGCTGTTTCTACTCTTAGATCATTGAAGGGTCAGTGTAGAAGTTTTTTCTTGTTGGAACTTCTTGATTTCCAAGATCATGAAAAGAGTGTGACTGGTAAACTAGAAAATTTTATGGAATGTTATAGTAGTGACATTAAAATATAACTTTTAGAGACCACTTCTTCCAAATAAATTATTCAGAACTTTAACATCAAGAAAGCAAATACTAGAGTAGAAAAAAATGCTTCTGAAAGGCATATTTTAAAGAACTTATTTGCAAAAATTTTAACACTTTTTTCTTTTCTTTGTGACTCTTGAAAAACTCAACTTGTCTTAAGTTGAATTTTTTACCCTAATGTTATCTTTTATATCAGAGAGTTTTTTTTTATGTAGGTGATTCCAAAGCATTTTTTAAACTAATTATGAAAGATAGTAGCATTTCTTCAGCCAGCATTGCTCTGAGTTTTTAAAAATACCATCTTGTATCTATAAGTATTCTGATTATATTGGCTTGCTTATATGTTACATAACATACTTTTCATACACTGTGGAATAAGCTATGTACTGCTGTAGATATTTTGAGGTAAAATTCATTTTGAGTTACATGCTTTGAACATAAATTGTGCTGTTTACGAGGTGTTTTTCAGTGATGTAAAATATAATTTTGATAGCCTGTTGTAAATATAAATTCTAAACCAATTCAAGTTTTTTAATATACTGTAAATTACCTTCCTCCCGTGGTTTTCCAATTTAAATTAACTTATGACCAGTCACCACATTGTTCAGGCCCTGATTATAAATCCATATCAAAAGAAAATTAAATAGACTCCTCTTTCTTCATTGATTTTAATTTAAAACTCAATTCATTTAGGATGCACAAAGTTACAGATTCGAAAAGTTTGCTAAATCCACTTGAATTGTAATATTAAATATTTCCATGGGTTGTGCATTTGGGGACGACTTTGCTGTGCTTTACTGTCTGTGGTGTAAGACTCAGGACTTCATATTGTGTAGATATGGCCATTACACTAGTGTGGTATTTTCTCTTCATTCTCTGAAGTCTGCATTTTTTCATTGGGTTGCTTATTTGGTATAAGTTTTATTTTCTACTTATGTATAATAAGTATTAACCATAAACAAAGGGCTGCATCAAGTGACCATATAGGGCAAAATTATTCTTTTTATTCTCATTGGTATTATAGGGAATAGTAATAGTTCTGTTATTTCCTTTGGCATATACTTTTTAATATTTCCAACTACTTAAAAAATTCAAGGGCAGATGTTTAAGCAGTACATGCTGCCTTTTTGCAGATGGTTCCTTATAACCTAATGACTATTTCTTGGCTGGCTGATTTATTTCCTTCTGATGAGCACATACTAGATGGTAGCATCAATAAAGTCTTATTTACTTTAAAAATATTCTTGTGAGATACTTCCATGAGGTTAAAATGGTTCATGGAGTTAATGAATACTGGTAATCCTTTTGTCAGATTCGTCACATGCTTGACCTATTTGTGTGTTGAAGCAGAGTTAGATAACTGGCATTTCCAGTGGCTTTCTCTTCATTTTGGTAGTGGAGGAGTTAAACAGCGTCTTTGCTTCTTCCCGCTTTACTCATGTGCATCCCTTGTTTTCCTGGTGAGTTCTGTTTTCTGTCTGGGTTCTCTGTCTCGGATTCTTCTCTGTCTTTCCATGTGTGCCTTTCCCTTCTTGCTTTCCCACTCTCTTTGCCATGGTTGTGTTTCCCTATGACTGAGGAAGGTGAAGAGCCAGGGTCATGCATGCTCATTTTCCTCTAGCTTAGCATAGCTGAATTCATGAGAGTCTGCCTCAGCACTGCAGGGATGGAGTCAGTGGTAGAAAAAAACGACTCTGTTTTGGTCTGTAATATACTGTTGAGTGAAAGGGTTGCTGCATGTTAAGCTTCCTCACTTAAGGGACTCCTCAAAACATTGCTCCCACACAGGCTGGTGGAGCAGGTGTCCAAGCATTTGACTGGTGCTGGCCAGGAAGTTGGTTCAGGAAATTGATAGCAGCTAACCTTTTTTTTTTTTAGTTTTAATTTAAATTCCAGTTAGTTAATGTACAGTGTAATATTAGTTTCACGTGTACAGTATTGTGATCCACCCAGTGCTCCTCACAACAAGCGCCCTCCTTAATCCCCCTCATCTATTTCATGCATGTCCCCACCCACCTCCCCTCTGGTAGCCATCAGTTTGTTCTCCATAGTTAAAAGTCTGTTTCTTGGTTTGCCTCTCTCTCTCTCTTTTTTCCCTTTGCTTTTTGTTTTCTTTCTTAGATTCCAGATATGAGTTAAATTTCCCCAAAGAACACAAAAATACCAATTTAAAGGGATCCGTGCACCCCAGTGTTTATAGCAGCATTATCTACACTAGCAGTTAACTGTTTTAAATTGATCAAAAAGAAACACAGAAAGGTGGGAAACTGCTGTGTTTCTGTTCTTTGCCAGGCATTGGGACAACTGTATCTGGAATGATCACTTCTAGGAGCCTTTTTAAAATGAGAGATTTCTTTATGAAAATGCGTATTTACCTTCCTAATCAGCTTTATTACTTTGCACATTCATCAGTTACAAGGCAGGTTGAATTAAAATGTGTTCATTTAAATTTGTAAAGCTTGGGGCACCTGAGTGGCTCAGTCAGTTTAGCATCGGACTTCGGCTCAGGTCGTGATCTCCCAGTCTGAGTTTGAGCCCTGCGTCGGGCTCTGTGCTGACAGCTCAGAGCTTGGAGCCTGTTTCGGATTCTGTGTCTCCCTCTCTCTCTCTGCCTCTCCCCCGCTCATGCTCTCTCTGTCAAAAAATAAATAAATAAACATTAAAAAAATAAAAAAAATAAATTTGTAAGGCTTAGTAATCTTATATGTTATGAAAATAATTTGGGTAGCTCTTTTTGTAAGAAGGTCTACCTTTAGTGATATACATATGTATTCCTTAGTTTTTAAGAATTCTGACTCTAATTTTTAGAACCGGAGGTTTTTTTGATGATGGAGTTAGTCTCTATTTGCATAAAGCTGTCATTCTGTGAGAATACTAGAACGTAAGGTTTACAAAACCTGTCCGAAATTTTATCATAATTGACATGTTACTACTTGTATTTATTATTTCCATTTAGGTTTTTTCCCAAGCAGTTCTCAAGGGTGTGATGCATTTCTTCGCCACAAGATGACACTGATATCTCCCTCAGTACTGAAGAAGTATGGTATTCCCTTTGACAAGGTATATTAGTATCACTCTTTAACATTTCATTTCGTGTGTGTAGTATTTATATTTAAGACAAGTGTAACACAAGCTTGACTTCAAATATGAATTTTAGGATGTGGGTAGGAAAATTCAGATTTATGTTTTATAACCTGGCAATTATTTGTCTAAATACTAATTTGAAGTTATTTTTATTTCAGGATACATTTACTAGAGATTTCATGCTGGTTATAGTTCACTTATAACAATACTGAAAATAAAATGCAGAACGTTCAACAAAATGAGATGTAGCACTTATACACTGAAGTCTTTTATAACATAAAACATAGCATAATTTATATATATATATATGATCAATATGTGATTATGAATAACAATTTATATATATGTGATCAATTTTTTTAAAACAATTATTATTAGAAGTTTGGTTAGAGTCAATGATTATGACACCAGTATGTTGCTCCTAAACACATTCAGACATAGCACAATGAAAATTTCATTATAGATAAAATTGCCTGATGACTTAATCAGATATTGCTTCTTTGGAGTATTTCTAAAGATTAAGTTCTGTAAGACTCAGTACATGCTAGATTCTTCTATTTTTGTGTCCATGGGTAGTTATTGGGTCAGAATTATTACAGAGCATGAGAACTTTTATGTGAAGAAGCTAAAATGAAGAAAAAAAACAAAAACAAAAAACTTTTGACCAGGTAAATAAAAGCTCCCTCTCAGAGGAGGATTTAGTAATTAGCTCCTTATAGAAACATTAATAAATAGCTATACCCTCTTCATCTTCTTTTTTTCTTCATTTTTAATTTGACTTTTTTCCTATAATCTTTGCTGTTTTTCACCTCAGAAGTTTTTCACTTGTGATTAAATCTTTACCTCTTACTAATCTCAGGCCCTTAAAGTGCATTCCACCCCCCAATCCCCAGCTTTGTTCAAAGTGGAATTTTTGCAAGGACCAGGAATCATTCTCCAGCTTGAGGGGAATCCATGCTCATGCACAAAGCATCTAGCTATATTCACGCATGAGACATATCTGTCTTGTGTCACAGAGATGCTGTCACCACTGTTTTACTCACATAGTCTTACCCATGACAAAAAGCATGCTTCTGAGATGTGCACTGTGGCAGGTGTGCACAGATGTGGAGAGAGGCTGGTCTTGAACTGCAGCGCTGTCACAGTGCCCACTGTTACAGAGGGCAGGGGGTGTGTCCCAGAGATGGGCCACTGCTGCTGTGGCGCTCTGTCTCACTTGCAGATACCTCTGGGCACTGGGTTTTTTAGTCTCAGACACATCATCAGTGAGTGTTTCTTTTAGGTGGTTGGCATTAGCTTGATCAGATACTTTTATTTAAGTTGGAGTTTTAGAAGACAGAGGAGAATGAGTGAACTAGGGTCTCCCAAGGATAGAAAATCTTTTATGATTTTAGGGCTGGTGATAGATAATTGATCAAGCTGGTCTTTGGAGAAGGGATTATGTGAAGTAGTAGGATTGTGGGATTGGTTCATTTCCCCAGGATGGAGGCCTTGGAACTCATAGCTCCTTTCCAAGCTTTGGGGAGAAGGAGGCAGGTGCCCTCCACCCCTTTCTGGGCTGTGGCTTCTTAATACTCCTTGGTAAATCACCAGATGGCTCTCCTCTGCTCTCTTGAGGGTGGGACATTTTGTGGCTTCTGAAGACACCAATGCCTCATCATCTGATTGGCAATTGCAGTTTTTCATATGAAATACTGCCACTTCCCTTTCTACATTGATGAAGGATGTGTGATAACTCTGTGCTCCTCAAGAAACATATTCTCTGATAATGGTAATGTAACGTGGGACAGAGTAGTGTAGGCTTCCAAATTAAACTTCACAAATTTATTCCTGATTCTGTCACCTGGGAAAATTATGTAATTTTTCTAAGCCTCAGTTTCTTTAGCTGGAAAATGATGATAACAATAGTACCTACTTAATAGGGCTGTTATGAGGATGAAAAGAGATGACCTCTAAGAAGGGCTTTGCATAATATATGTTATACAGAACATATTCTTTCTCCTTACTTCGACCCTCTTTTTAGGCAGTTCTTTCACATTTGGAGAAACATTATTTTCCTCCTTCTTTCAATGTATTTGCACATAATCATATATATATGTACATATATATATGAAAAAGTACTTAATAAACATAATGTATGCTTTTAGATCATGTGCACTTTTCAACTTCCTTCATTATATGGAATTGTGGTGATTGTTTAGTTTTATAATAAAAGTGACTTATTCTTTTCTGCTACTCTATTTTCTGACCTGTATATTACACCAAAGGCAGTTAATTAGCCTTATATTTTGGTAAACTGGGACTGACCTGTTTCTAGAAATTATACAGAAGCATAAAATTTAGAGTCCCATTCAATAGGAACAGGTGCTCTTTTTCAACATGGCAAGATTTTCTAGGTAGAGTAGAAAAAGATTGTAGGTGGAATTCAGTGGAGCAGTGAAGATAGTCTCCTTATTCCAAAGGCAGCAGCTGCACCCTCTTCCCCCATCTATGTAGGGTTATAAACAGGTGATCAGGGTGAGTTTTGTTTTATCACAAAGTATAGGGAAAGCATAGTTTCCAAGCACAATTATAATTAATGAAATTCAGTGAGACCAGGAAAGGAGAGAACCAGGCTGTGTTCTCATGTAGCTCATGATGGAACCGGAACCATGTTGAACACTGATAGCCATTCTCTGCCTGCCAGGTGGCAACTGAGTTGCTGCTCATTGCGATAGAACACCTGCTGGGCTGTCATGGGGGAGAAGATGATGAGATAAATTTCAGGATTGTTGGGAAAGAAAATACTTTTACAACATTTTAGCATCCCTAAAATGGCAACCGAGTTGCATTGTGTACAACTGTTATTTATTTATACAGTATGCCTCCTGAATGTTTACATACATGTACATACCCACGTATTTCTCAACATTTTAGGACTGAAAATTAACCATGGATAATAAATTTGATAGTCCATAATAGTATAGGTAAATTAAAAAAAAAAACACCAAAAAATTTTGTTTTACTATTTTTCTACAGCTCATGGTGTATTTTGTGTGTTTTGGTAATTATAGAAAGCCATGTCTTTAGCCTAATAAATAGGAGTGGAATAAGTATATTTTTCATGTTGGTCTTTAATCTCTGACTGGTTTATTCAAGTTACTTTAATTATATTTGAAGATGCACTTACACATACATATTTGAATAATTCTTTGATAGAAATTTTACTATTAAATGGAACACAGTTAATTAAATGTTTTCTGAATATTATGGAAGAATAATTTGGTGAATACCACCAACTCTTTAGCAATAGAATTAATAGTAAAGCCTGTTGAGCATGCATTATTGAAGTTTTTTTTTTAGCTCTAACAAACATCAGTCAAAATATGTCCTGTGAAATAACTCCAGTAACATGATTTTTTAAAGTATTAAAAATATGCACATTGATTGCTAATATGAACAAATTTACTTGGATAACTTAAAGACAGCTTCAAATAAAATAAAATATCTTTGATTATGGATTGAATGAGGGAATTACATTGCCAGAGGTCACACCCTGTTTAGAAAAGTCTTTAAAGTTTCCTGAAAAACTACTGAAGGATTGGATAAAGATCTGGGGGAACTTCTTTTATACTAGATAGCTCTGATATCATGGCATTTTTTTCTTTTTTTTAAATAGGAAATATATTTTAATTGTCTTTGCAATTTGGAAAGTCTGATAATTGAAAATATTGTATGTTTTGTACCCTGCAGATCACTCAGGAGGCTGGAGAATTTATGATTACTTTTCCATATGGCTACCATGCTGGTTTTAATCATGGTTTCAACTGTGCAGAATCTACAAATTTTGCTACAGTCAGATGGATTGACTATGGGAAGGTTGCTAAATTGGTAAGTTATGCCTCAAAAATAAGGCATAAATTAAATGTGTATTCTGGTTATTGTGGTGGGAAATCTAAGATCATATGCAGCACTTTTTTTCCCTTCATTAATACTGTCTGCCTCGCACCATGGTAATTTATTTTCAGACTAGATATATTTGTTTTACATAGCATGTGTTATCATTTATAGCTATAGTTTTCTGTTTGAGATTTTTGTGGAGAAGTTTACTTTGAGAGGTAATTTTATGCAACTGATGTTTGCTTCCTTTCTTAAAGCCACCAATTATTTTTTTGTGAGATTTCCCAGTGGCTCCCTGTGGCTCCATGTTAGGTAAAGACTTGGCTCTTTACCTAACATGGACTAAATATGGAATTTAGTTCCATGGCTTAGAAAACAACTACTTATAGATGAAAATGTCTGTAAAAATTATAGTAAGAGGTTGAGGGAGGGTGGTAAGAAGAAATGATTAAAACTTCCCTTAGTGCAGCAATAAATTTCTTGAAAGTAATGCAGAATATACTTTAATAAGAAATGTATCTTTATATTGCATTTGTACAAAATTTTGCATTTCCTGCTCAGTATATTTAATTTAGTTCACATACTGTGTATTTTCATTCACAAGAAACAACTTCCATTAAATTTAATTAATTTCCCCTGTGGTGTTAAATAGAGGACATCTTCAAAGAGATGGTGGCTTACATTAAGTTGCTTTCTTTCCTATGGCTTTGAAGGCAAGGGCATAGGCTGGCAGAGGGCAGCTATGAATGAAACTGTGTATTTTACGGAGTGTGTAAAATTGACACAGATTTAGTGGAAAATGACATAACAGCTTATGTGGCTGTATCTTGGCCACTGCATGGTATAAGTGAGTGTTTTTCATTCCACATTGATAAAGCTTGTATGTGGAACCATTGTGAACTTAGAAATATATTCAGGGAAGAGAACACCAGGTTTGATTTACATGTGTATTTAGAAAATTACATAATATATTAAAATAAAAGTAGAGCCCTTTGGCAGCCTAGGAACCATTTGTATGGATTTATGAAAAAAGGAAAGCTCCTGCTATTAGAAGACTTTTTCTGTTCTGAGTAATTTCTATTTATGAGGGGTAATTTAGAAAGGAATAGAACTGAACTACTTCTTCCCATTATGGATCCTTCATATTATAATAAACCTAATAAAAAAAATAGGAAACTCAGTGTATGTACCTTGGCCAGCTACCTGCAGTGTTTTCACAGAGAGGTAGTGCTTGGATCTACATTGAAACAGAGCCATACACCCATAGTAATAGCAAGGTATGTATTTTATGGTTTATATTATTTTTTTTATTAACAATTTTTTTTAACATTTATTCATTTTTGGGAGACAGAGCCGTGAGTGGGGGAGGGGCAGAGAGAGAGGGAGACACAGAATCTGGAGCAGACTTCAGGCTCCGAGCTGTTAGCACAGAGCCCAATGTGGGGCTTAAATCCACAAACCGCGAGATCATGACCTGAGCTGAAGTCAGATGCTTAACCAACTCAGCCACCCAGGTGCCCCTGTGGCTTGCAGTTTTAATCATTGACAGAGTAAGTCAGCTATCACAGCTGTTCAGTTATCAGAAAATTAGCTGGTGCTTGTTTACTCTGAGTTTCAGATCTAGTTCACGGTATTGGCCAGATTAGTTTCTCCTCAAGGCTAAAATGTCCTGGGTGGGTTTCCACATTCTTTGTTAATGTAGAATGGGACTGGGGTGTGACCAAGTAAGAGAGGTGGGCAGTGGTCCTCTGAAATCCCAGCTGACAGAGCCTAGGATTGTGGGACTGTAAGAAGTAGTGCGCTGTGGTGGAGGAAGCAGGGATCTAAGGCCCAACTTTTCTTCTGGCTAGTCGTATATCATTAGGAAAATTGTTTATTTTGTTTGTTCCTTCCTATATAAATTAGAAATACCTCTCCACCCATAGATCTGTTATGAGAGGGAGAAAACCTTAGGTATGTGGATATCCATTCATGCTGCGCTGATTTGTATCAGTCAATTTAGTTAAGGAATATGACTGTCTTGGTTCTGGAATTTTGCTAGGTACAAAATTGTTCAATGGCTATACTGCAGTTTTGGGTAAATAGTGCACTAGATTGCATGTGTTTGAGATGTTTTTAGGTGTTGTCTCCACCCTTCCCTTATTTTGGTGAGGTGGTGCTGCTCTGAGAAATGTATTTGTTTTCTATTGCTACTAGAGCAAATTGCCATAAAAGTAGTGATTTAAAACAATACTCACTTACCATCCCTGTAGG